ATATATATATATATAATAGATAATTGGTTATATTAAAAATTAACTATGCATCTAATCACATAAAACTGACCATTTACTATTATTTTTTTGAATATTTGAAATTTAGTCTCTTTCGAATAAAATAATTACAATAATATTGTAAAAGAACCAATATCTAACGGTTCAAATACAGCTTTTAATGCTACATTATTTATTATTTTATGATTCAATATATATAAAAATTAAATATATGTGCTTTAAAAAAATAATCTTCTCATCGAGATTAAATAAAAATAAAAATTTATATTTATACTTATTAATTTTTTAATAAGTTTTTATATTAATTGTTGTTTTATTTTATTTTTTTATACAACCTCATGAAAAAGATATTAAGATTTTTTTTAAAAAAAGTTGGATTCAGTTTTCTATTTAGATTATTGCAAGTTCTTGTTTAAGAATCAATACGTAAAAAATATAATTTTTTTTTTTACTGAAAAATTATAGAAAACATAAGAAATAATAAATCAAATACAAGATTTTAATTAAAAAATTATTATATATATATATTTTAAAAATAGCATTGATTTGATTATTTTAATAAATTCATAATATAATATAAGATATCAAGTTGAAATGATTTGGTTACGTTGGATGATTCATAGCGTAGTGGTACTGGTGCTGACAACAAATTAGAGTATCCCCTAAAAAATAAAATAAAGTCTGGTGCAGACTGGGTCAAGCCACGGACTACTGAAATTCTACTTGGGCCTCCACTTAGGGCTACCGTTCTTAGTTGATTGAACCATGCCTGAATTTGGAACGGCGACAAAGGAAAGAAATATGACTGAGAAAGAAGAAAAAAGATTCCTGTGTAAAGAGAAGGGAAGACAATAAGTGAATAAAAACAGAACTGAAGAGGGATTAATATGTAAATAGATTTTAAAATAATTAATGTTTTGGTTTTAAATTGTAAGAATTAATGGTATATCTAGCTAGCGGTGGTAGAGACACTTTAGCAGCCCCACTAGATAATTTTATTTGGTAATTAATGTTGATGCAATGTTTATCGGTTGCATTCATATGTTTTTAAGATGTTTTTCGGGTATGGCGTGCTAAATCGGTACCAATATGATTGGAGGCTTTCTTATTGGTGTTAAGTTACAGCCAATCCAAATCTTACCGAACTCTTGAATAAAATATCAACAAAAGCAGTTCTATTAAGTCATAAATTTTGATTGATATTGCCGGCCAAATTCCTCTTAATTCTTTTGGTGTTTGCTTTCTTTGTCGCTAATCAAGTAGTATTACCCATAACCCCACTTTATGGTTGTCTTTTAATCCTCTTATTTTGGCATAAAGTAGTGCAGCATTTTTAGACTTTCTACAAACCCACAAATCATTTCACTAATCGACCAACTTATGAATAAACTTAACTCCCTAAATTAATCAACTTGATAATCTCTTTCCCTTGAAGAGAGAGAGAGAGGGGGCTAAAACAGCAAAAGCATCTCCATTTCTTAAGATCTGCTGTTTGTCTTTTGACTTAGGGAGTGTCTCCCGCTTGTTTTTTGTAAAAGAGGAGAACGCTTGCTAACTACTTATCCAGAGTCGACATGGTAGGTTTTATCTGATGTTGGCCTTTTACCTTCGGCTATTCCTTTTTTTTTTTAAAAAAAAAATTAATAAAAATGTTTCGTTCTTATCTATTACATTAAAAAAAAAAGTGTAAAAAGTAGGACTCGATTAAGATTAATAACTAAAGTTCAGACCTTTTCTCAAAAAAAAAAAAAGAAAAAAAGAAGAAGCTCAAATCTATTGCTCAATGCATTGATGATACAGCTCAAGTCCAACCTTGTTACATAAATTTGAATTTGAAGAAGAAAATGAAACTAATTTTAACACTTCATGATAATTCATTTTTTTTAACTTCGTATTTTTTGTTATATCGGGTTGAATTTGATTTTTTCATATGAAAATATTTTTATTAATTTAAATGAAAACAGGTAATAAAAATATTTTTATCAGAACTACATCGGATTAACTGGTCTGGTAGAAAAATTAACTAAATACCAAATCTATTCTATAAAAAAATCCACATAAGATCAAGAAAGAGAGTATTTCGCATCTCTTTTATACATGTGAGTTGGTTTTTGTGACTAATTTTTTTAATTTGATTGAGGGTTTTTGTTATTATCTGATCTTGGATTATAAAATGATGGTTAAATCCTTTGAAATTATTGAATATGTTCATTTCTACCGTATTTTCCAACTCTTGGTGATAATTACTTGACATTCATTCTATATTAAATATTGATTCAATAACTTTTGTGCATAATTTTGGAATTATTCTCAACAACAATTCATTGTAATCATTGAATCATCATTCACACCAATAAATCAGTGATTAGTTTTTTTTTTTTTTTTTACTATTCTATCAGTAGTGATAATATCTGATAGAATGATAGATTGAAAAATGCTTCATAATATAAGAATAAATTAAATATTATATCTAAAATATGAGTAGATGAAGCTAATTCCTCGTACCAGGATAGGTAAAGTTTAATAAATATTGGTAAGTGATGATTGGTACAACGAATAATTGTTAATAAATTTAACATAAATACAAACCATGGTAATTTAATGCAATTTTTTTTTATCATTTATTTAATGTGCTTATTCGTGCTGTGTTGAATTCGTTTAAATTTTTTTTTGCTATATACCGATCATTATTCAATTTTGGTGAGTAAAAAAGAAAATGCTTGACCACACCATGATGACATATAACATTTCTAAAAATAGAAAGTTTTTAAGAATAAATTTAAAAAATGAAAAAGTTAAATGACATAATACTCTCATTAAAAATTATTCATTTTTTTTCTCTTTTATGTTTCTAAAAAGAAACACTATTTTTATAAAATTATAATATTTTTCTTTTTTTTGATATCATTGATTTCATGTAGCACTAGTCGAGTAAAAAATATACCCAGCATCATTCTAATTTTAGGTGACACTGAGTGTTCTTTTCCATGGTTATAGAGCAATAAGCAGAAAAGACTACCATCTCGACCCCCGCACGTGCATGCGTGAATCACTGCGACAAAGTTCCGACATCGTTAAGAACCGAACAGAACAGAAAGAGATTTCATTACCTACCAGCAATGGAGGCCTTAAATTCTTCTTGAACTGACATCATAACATGATTAGTGTTGGAGATCATGCAATACAAACCGTAAACAAAAAATGATTTGAGTTATATTTTATGTGCTAAATCATGATTAACATAAAAGCAAAAGCTAATAATAGCATGATTAAAATCATGTACCAAAACACAAAAGTGAAATCTAATTGGTTTCATGTAGGAATTGTGGGCACCGATACATGAATTTTATTGTTTTCCTTTTCTAATATTCAACTCGTTGCTTTTTAGTGTTGATGATGATGATCATGATGGGCAATGGTAGTCCACTTAGGCGTGTCTCTCGCGAACATGTGACCGTCACATTTTTCACTTTCCGGTGACATGTTTCGACATGACACGTATAAATCATGCTTCCATCTCCATTTACTTTTTCTTTACAGCCCATAAAAACTACTTCGTGTTTAATAGAACCGTACTGGGCTACTAGCTAGTGCTTATAAAATAAAGCTTTGAGAGATTGGCAGACTGCTTTTTTAATCAGTGACTGGTGGGAGTGATAAAAATGTTATCAGATTTTTAGTTAGTTTCAGATTGAAAGAGAGAGGGGAACAAAAGAAAGGGGTTAGATCAAATATTTTTTTCAGAGATTAAATTGCATGTGCTATTAATCCTGCATAAATTAGAAAAAGAAAATCATTTATTAAAGAAAAAAATTATACACACACACACTGAAGAGTGTTATCTGCTACAGCTATGTACTGAGGAGATGAGGAGTCTATACTTTCTCTGGTACCATCAACCAAGACAATTTTTTTTCCCCTAATCAAGCCTCGTTATTAATTGAAATTTTGTAGTAATATAAAACTTCTCCTCTATTTAAGAAAATATCTATGTGCCCTTCCTCTTGGATTGGTGGTTTGGTTCTAGCCCACTTAAATCTGCCAGAGGGCTTCTATTGGAGCCCAAAACTAAATAAGCCCTCCATAACCCTATTTGAAAAAGTTGCTACATTTTTCAAACCAAAATTGCTATAAATTCCAGAGAGGATCTTCGTTAACTAAGTTGTCGGGTTCGACTAAAAATTCTGTATCCTAACCAATTGCAGGAGCGAGTAAATATCCTACTTGTCATTGGTACTAATGAGGATGTACAATGAGCGGTATTTTGTCCCATTTTTGGCACAAGACTGTTTGATTAAATTTAATGCCGTTTATCTTAGAGCCAACGCCATCGCAATTTAACCTATATATTGTGGTTTGGTTCTAATTCAGTCAAGCAATGCATGTTAGTTGTAGAGATAAGCTGCTTGATCCGGTTTAACGGTAGAAATTCTAACAGGAGACGAAGGGTGAGAAAGACCTCGACAAACAGGACATTGACAGTTGCAGCATCGTTCCTAAAACTACCAAGTATAAAGTTGGCAGGGAACTGGAAATTCCGGTGCAGTAAATTGCAGGGAAAATCATTCATGTACTTATAGCAGATGGTAATACGATCGTTCATCGTGGACTGCAATCAAGAAACCCAGAAAAGAGAACCCCCAGAAGAATAAGTTATGCTGGTAACCCACAAATTTACAAACATAAATTCTATTCATTGCTATTCTTTATCAAACAATACTGAATTCCCAGATAGCATAGGGAAACAGGATGCATGTTATGCTCGGGATCCATTCATGATTCAACTGAGATAGTTAGATACATGCAATGTAAATACACGAGCAAATCTTACATGACTACTTAGCAATACCAAGAGCAGAGAAAGTTCAGCCCATTCCAGAAAGTCACCACCAGAAACATGACATAACCTAAACGTATCACTTACAAAGTCCAGGATTTTGGGCCTGGATCAATCACAGGCTAAATCAGCCCACATGCTAACTTCAGTCATCTTCATCGTCTTCTTCATCCTCCTGAAAATGGGAAATTCAACTTATATTAAGATCGATTAAGGAAAAACGTGTGAAGTAGGAATGAAAGAAAATGCACTCATTTGATGAGTAATTGAAGACTAATGGTCAGCAGGGAGGACATGAGTCGGATCAATATCAGCAGGAGGAAAGAAAATACCATATATTGCTGAATAACTTCCACATAACCGCTACAAAATGGAGTAATGAGCTAAAAACAAGCGAAATAAATTGCCAAGCTCATGAGAACACTGAAGATAAAACCATCCAAAAATCATCAATCGCTCTATCCTAAGCTCAGTTTCTATCTACAATTCTCTTCAATAAAAATAACCATATGAGAATTCAACAAATTCAGGCATTTTTAAGGTTCAGGAATCAAGGACCCGTGCAGGTGAAACCTAAAACGAAATACTCAATCCTAAGAACCTAAAGCATATTAGCACGTGGAACAATGAGGTCCCCTTTCTAGCTTGACAAGTTGTCGACAGGAATGCTACAACACGAACATTCTCATGTAAAACAAGCCAATAATTAATTCTCTTGGACTGGAAAAAGCATTGTAGTTTTAATGGGACTTGGAGCAAATAATCTGGCCTCTTTAAATTCAAGGCATCTAAAGTAACAATGAACTTAGACAAAATAATTAGAGTAGATGTCTGGATTATGAAGTGTGCATATTCAAGGCACTGGCTAATTCGATCAAAAGCATTCTCATTATTAAATTCTTCACCACAGAATTAAAACCCAGTTCATGTGCAAGAGTTGCAAAATATTAAACACATGATGACATAGCGTGTGATATCCGGGGCTGACAAGAGATTACCTCATCACTCTCCTCGTCGTCGTCGTCATCTTGGCCATTGACTTCAGATTTGGACCCGTGAGATTGTTCAACGTCATCATCACCATCACCACCCATTTCCTGAGTGGTATGATGTAGTCAGGTGACGGGGGAAAAATAGCAAGTCCAATTGATTCTGTAGAAAAAAATATGAAAACATTCACCTGTTTCTTGTTGTAGGCTGTCATAACCTTTTCATATTCTGTTTTCCTTTTTGCTGCTTTAGCTTCATATGGAGCTTTCTCCTGCCAAACCCCAGTCCAGTAGAGGAACAGGTGAGAATGCAATCAGTATGGCATTTGTAAAGCCAGGAAGCAATCAGCAGACAGAGAACTGAACTTACTAAAAAGTGAAATTACTCTTTGCACACTAGTTATTTTGACTAATTCAAACAATCCTATATGTATGTGCACATGTCCAACTTGCAACATCAGTCAGGGAAGCATATCTGAATTCCACCACTCAGTTCTTTTAAATCTTCAGACCCTAGAAGTACCAACATCTAGGGCCCCTGCAGTCTACACCACACTGGAATTGGTGTGGCCACGCTAACAAAGTTCCAAAGTCATCGAACATGTGCTTGGTGCACAGCCAGGTCCAGTGGGAGCCACAATGCCAGGTTTATGCAGCACCTTAACAAACAGAATTCACAGGGTGTTCGAGTAAAAGTATTCTATTCAGTCAAGAGCAGCACAGTTTATTGTCATTCAGAGACCCAACTCAATTCAAGAATCTGAAAACTAAGATTTTAGGACTTACTGCAGCAGACAAGGATTTCCACTTCTCTCCTCCAGCTTTCCCCACCTTCAATCACATGACCCAGCAGTCAGAATTTCAGTCTACAGAAATTGATCTATCAAAGCAACTAAAAGCAGTCCCCAATTTTAAGAAACACATGATGATTATGAGCAGCTTACAGCAGAGACAGCCTTCACATTGGGGTGCTCTTGTTTATAAACCTTCCTGAACTCCTCTCTGCAGTGTGTTACGTTGTATAACCATGAGGTAATTCTCAAATATGATATCACAATTGCAAAACCAACTCAAATTAAGAGAGACTTACAGAAAAACAAAGAAAGCACTGGGAGGCCTTTTGGGTCTGTTAGGGTCCTTCTTGGTGATGTTTTCTTTCTTGGCTCGTTTCTTGCTACTCTCATTGGCCTTTATTGCTGCCTTTCGCTTTCCAATCTTCCTGAAAGAAGAAATGCATACATGACAAAACCATTCACTCAGAATCCACACCATATAACCCAGTTAATGAATGAAACAAACGAATAACAGCTGTGTGATTTATATATAAGGTTGTTTAAGGAAAGAATGAATTAGTTATAAATCTCAGGAAAAAAATAGAATTACCTGTCCTCAACCGGGATTAATACTTCCTTCTTTTCCGTCCTTGCGGTACCCTTGCCCTTGGCAATTTTCATGGCTATTACCTATATTTTTTTTAAAAAAATTACATTATTTAACTAAAAAACTTTGTTCTTTCCTCAAACCATCATTGGCCTAATTCGTAGATTAAGAAAAGGGCTACAACAGATCAAATAAAGTTTCAAAAATAGTTTCACCTTTTTTTTTTTTCATAAAGAAGTAAACTTGTTTTAACAAAGCATACCCACTTTGGCAACAAGAAAGCTTCTGATTGATGCTGACAAAATTTAAGAGACTAATTTAAGGACCAACAAAGCTTAATTCCATTTTCTAGGAAACTAAAGCAAAACAAAGCTATCAAGTTTCAAGCTTTGTTTTCTTCAGCCATATGCAAACACAAAGGAACATACAGTACAGAAATTAAGACAAAAGCTAACAAATTGGTAACGAAAACCCACAGGGAAAAACACTCGACTAGCAAAAAAAAAAAAACTTTAAATGATCGTAAAGAAAACTCAACTGGAAAACAAAAAAGCAATAAACAACTATTGAATTGGAATCAGAAATTATACCAAAACTGAAGAAATTAAAAATAAAAAAACCAAGAACAAGCTAGAAAGGATCGCATACCTCTTTAATTAGTGGGAGAGAAATTAACGACAACGGAGGAGTACGAATAACAAAAGCAGAGCCAAAAAAACAGAGTCCTAAAAAGTAAAGGGTAGAGAGATGCCAAGAAGATATTTGTAGTGAGGCCCTATGAGTGGACACGTGGAAACTTTCTGACAGGAACTTGAAGTTGACGAAAATATGTTTTGTCGGAGATATGATCGAGTTACCAGGAGGGGAATCCGAATGCCTCATTTATTGGATTTTGATTGGTTAAGGTGAGGTCTAGTCTAAGTCATAGTTTTGTACATACAATCTACGATCTACTTTCTGGTTCATTCATCACAAAAATCTAATTCAGATTTTGTATTTATTTTGTATTTTTCTTTTCGTTTTTTCCTTTCTATCCTTATACATGTTGTGAATGTCACGTAAGAATAGCCTTTTGGTATTTGTTTGTCTTATGCACCTTGGGAGTTATGGCCTGCTTCCGCTTGAGATATTAGCCAGTGAAGAATTTGGAATGTCTTAAAACCTTTTCCATTTTTCTATCAGGTAGTTGCTGGACCCTTTATTGTAAAAATGACCTATTGATTAATACAATTTTAATTTATCTAATGGTGGAGCTGGGAATTCCCTTTTGTTGAGAGTTTCCACGTATATACTTTCGAAGAAAAATTCACACACACACGTGCAAGAAAATTGATTGAAAAATTAGGTATCAAAAAACTAAAATGCAATAAAGAATTTGTAGTACGATTATTGTAGTTTTTCATATAAAACACGAATTTAAATTCTAATAAATTAGTTTTATTAGGAGTTTGAGTATGTGTGTTAAATATGTGAGTTAAAATATATATATATATACTTTACATTTTTTAAGGAATCGTTATTTATGAAAGTGAGGAACTTTATGAAATGTGTATCAAAATGGGAGACTATTTTAAAATTTTTAATCTTAAGTGTCGCGGCCTTTCTAGTCTCCTTAGTTCTACTTTGTATTTCAACTTTTAATAATTATAAAGTTCATTCAAATCTTAAATATCATTCAAGTTTAGCAAAAAAATTTTGGTTAACAAGAGGATGAGAGCTTGATTATTCATGTTGGATCTCACTCAATAGTTTAAAATTTTAAATTGAGATAATTTTAATATTATACTAGAATTTTAATATAGTATAATATTAATATTAAATGATTAGAAATTTCAATCTCACCCCTCTATTCTCTAAAATAAATGTAATTTTTTAATCCAAAAAAACCTTTAGTTGAAAAGATAGTTCAAAAAAATTTATTTGCAAAAAATTGTTAAAAAATGATATAAAAGCTCAATACAATCTCTAATAGCTAATACAAGACAAAAGACTAGTCTAATGGCAATTATGCTAAGAGTAGAAGTGTACGTAGACAAGGATTGGGTTAGCATAAGACCTTTAGTTGGAGTTAGGTTGTACTAATACTCCCCCACAAGTTGAAGGGGGTACCAAGACATTTAACTTGAGTTTTAAAGCTTTAAAACGAGTTATAGAAAACGGTTTAGTAAACAAATGATCTAGGTGACCTCGAGAGCAAATAAACTGGATTTACAATTCTATATGTTTCACCTTCTACCTCATAAAATAATAGTCGACTTTTATATGCTTTTTACAAGCGTGAAACATTGGATTCATGGAAAAATAGGTTGCTCTCAAGTTGTCACGCATAGAATTGAGACTTTAGCAAACAATCCTAATTCCTTTAACATAGCTTGTATACGGAGTTACTCGAGTAGCAATGTTCACAACCGCCTTACATTCCGCTTCAATAGAGCTGCAAGTAGAAGAACGTCAAGAAATCATATTTCTCTCAAGAAAATGGCATATCCACTAATGGACCTTCTATCATCAATATTACCGACCTACTCGAGCATCGGTAAAGGTCTAAAATAACATTGAGGAATGCTTAGATAGATAAAGACCATGATCAATGGTTTTCTTAACATAATTGAGAATTCGCTTAATGGCCGACAAATGCTATTCCATAGGAGATTGCATAAATTGATATACTTTATTGAACGCAAAAGTGAGATTAGACTCAGTGAGGGTAAGGCACTCGTAAATAGCCTACTACTTGCCTATGTTTGATGACATTAGAAAATAGTTTTCCCTCATACTTTTGTAAGTTTGATACTTGTGGAAAGAGAAGAGTGGATGGGTTAGCAATCTTGCATTCTAACAAGTAGGAATTAAACTTTTAGCATATTGAGAATATAAGAGAAGTAAACTAAAAGATTTTTGTCTAATTATGATATTTTATTAGTAGACAATTTATAATAAAAAGATGCTAAGCTTGATGTGATGTCGCTGGAAAGTTTGGGGAGTTAAAGGCTATGTTAAAGAACCAATAAGTTGATTAGAGAAATGAACATATAAAACTCGAATCAACTTATGGACTACCCGATCATGGATAAAATAAAAATCAATAACGAAGTGCTTCATTCAAGAGTGAAAGATAAGGTTAGAGCACAAGTAGGTAGTACCAATGTCATCGAAGTAGATAGTTGGTGTAGATGGAAGTGAGACACTAAGTTCTCCGATGAGGTTAGTTAACCAATTTACTTTGATAAAGGCAAAAGCAAGGGCTCTATATTTTGCTTCATTAGATGAGCAAGCAATATTATTTTTCTTTTTAGAGCTTTAACTAATAGGATTGAAACCTAAAAATACAACATAAACTAAAGTTGAATGGTGAGTATCGACATCACCCGTCCAATCGCCATCCGCAAAGGCATGAAAAGAAGAAGGCTGAATGAGCGGACGTGAAAATAATAATAATGAGAAGTACCTTCCAATTAGCGAAGAACTCATTTGACGACATTCCAATAAGAAGAAGATGAACTATGCATAACTAAACAAGTTTATTGACAACAAAACCAATATCCAAGTGAGTAAGAGGTGTATATTATAGGGATCTAAGAACTTGATGATATTTAATGGCATCATAACTAGGAGAACCATTATAAAGCTTAGAGTTTCGATTAAAGAGAGAGGCATGCCGACTTTTTTTGCTTCATGAATGTTTTATAGAAAAGATCTACATACACAAGGAGATACATGATATCGTTGGTTATGTGATAAATAAAAAGAAAAGCATCACTCTTAGAATTGACAAATCCATTAGCAAATAGAAAGGAATGAAGTTCCGTATATTATGTTTTGCGTGCTTCGACGAAGGCCATAAAGAGCCTTATACAATCCGCAAATATAGTCGTGGCATTAAAGATTAATAAACCTTTAAGGTTGATTCATAAAGACATGGTTAGATAAAATTCTCTAGAAGAAAGCCTTGTTAACATCCAACCGATTCAAAACCCAACCACGATACACTATTAAACTAAGAACAAGACGTATAGTAATAGGTTTAATAATACGACTAAATGTTTTTTTATTGAAATTAATGCGTAGTCGTTGATGAAACTCTTTTACTATAAGGTGTGCCTTGTAATGGACAATGGATCTGTCTAAGTGTCTTTTAATTTGATAGACTTATTTATAACTAAATATGTTTTGTGTGGGTGAATTGAGAACCGACATCTAAATTTTATTTTGGCGAGAGGTTAAAATTTCTTCTTTCATGGCTTTATGCCATTAGGGATTTTTATTTGCTTGGGTGAAGGAGGTAGGTTCTATTTGAAAAGAGGGGCTAATGGTTTAAGTTGAGGTTTTAGATTGACGAGAATTTTTTGTATTTGGATATTGTTTTATTGATAAATATACATTTGAAGAGGAGACTTTGGTGGTGGAGAGATGGAAGCGTATGTTATATTAGAAATTGAAAAAGGAGAACTATTTACTTGATTAGGAGACGTATGAATGGGCATACCCGGATTGGAAGCAGGAGTTGCATAGAGATAGATTTGGAGGATGATTGTCATAGAAGGTGGAGTCGAAGGAATGGATGTAGGTGATGTACGTAAAAGCGAGGCTAAATCATAAGAGATGTTAGAAGAGATTTGACTTTTTTAAGTTTGACTTGTAAATAAAGAAAGTAACCTAGAAAATGAGTGTCGGTTAACATAGAATTCATAACACAATTTTGTTTTATAAGAAAAGATACTTAAAAATAAAATAAAAAACTACATGTCGTGAAGTAAAGATTTTATTCGATTGTGTATCAAGACATAGGAAAGCATGGGTATAGGGAAAATCCAAGATACATTTATGGTCATGATTGGGTTTCAAGTTTATGTGTTAAATAGATGAAACCATGGGTAGCAAAGGCCTCCAAAAATACGTAGGGAAGTGTGCTTGGGTTGATGACCAAATAGGTTAGCATGGGGTGTGTTATTTTTAGAGCGAGGAGCAATCGAGTAGGCATTCGGTTATAAGGTAGATCATTGTTTGAAAGGAATAAGATCGTAAACGTAAGGGAATAAAGGTATTGTGGAGAAGAGTTAAGCCGATTTTAACAATATATCGATGTTTATGTTCGGCTAATCCAAAATGTTTTGGTGTGTAAGCTAATACAATACTAGAGATTAGTATAATAATGATGTGGACCAACAAGGCCTAGAATTCATGGAGCGGTATGAGCGTGACGGAAGTCGAAAAAATTGCCGACTCTATTTTGAGGTTTCTTGGGCTTAGTTGGATGCCAAACGATTTAACAAACAAAACACATAGTTATGCTATGTATGGGTGATTCTAGCAAAAAAAAAAAAAAAACACCGTTTAGGCCTATAAAATCGACTTTTGCCGTTTTTTGAAGATTTTTTCTACTTTTTTGGATTTTTGTATTTGTTTTCCTTTTGAGTTGGTTTAGGGTTTTTTCATATTTTTCCTATTTATGTATGATTTGGAGGGGAAAATGCAGCTTTTTTTTATTAATAAAAGTTTATGAAAGAGTATGTCAAGTTTATTTCAATTTTTGATATTCTTTGAATCAACGTAATTTGAAACCTATTTTTTGATATTTGTGTGTAATTCGACAACTTATAGTAAATTGGCATCTGAATATTAATAGTATTTAATTTCTTCTCGTGAGTCTGTTTTGTCAAATAACAAAAATGCTAAGAATATAAATGGATATAGATAAAGATAGAAATTATCACTATGCAAAAGCTAGTCTTTCAACTGTTAAAGTAATGAAGGTATCCTGGATTGCTCTGGAAATTATGAGTGATGGACTTATGCCGACCCGATCCTTTAACCATTAAAGAGTTGGCGCTGGTTTTTCCTAATACTCGATCTTCAAAGAAAGATGGATTAAGATATTTTCTATGTTTCAAATCATTGTACGTAAAAGCTAATACACACATCCTCTCTTATGACTACGCAAACTCTAATAGAAATTTTAATTTCACAATAATTTTTGTAGTTATAATTCTTATATGATTTGCATTTGATATTTTCTCTCTCCTTTTTTTAAGATGCTACAATCCATAATAGTAATTAGAAAGTTAGGAAGTTAAGTATTAGCAGTTAAATAGAATAAAAACATTATCACAATAGAAATTGAAGTGACTACCATTGCAAATATAATATGCTACTTCAATATCTTTTTATAATGGAGCATTTTTTAAATTATAATTCTCCAAAAAAAAAATTTGAATCCTTAATCTTAGTGAAGCATAATTAGAAAATCATTACTACTAAACAAGATGCCTATTGGTGATTAATATTGCCTTCCAAAGGGTGGAAAATGGAAAGCGTTATTACATTATTTAAAAGATTAAGAGAAAGTGAAAGAGAAGGAAAGTGGGAAACACTACCTACCTTGGTTCACCATAATCTAATATATCCAAATACAGAGAGAGAATGCAGGAAAAGAATAAATCAACTTTTAATTTGCATGTTTGTCCTTGCTTTTCAAAAACAATTAATGGAAAAAATGTAACGAGTTATTGTCATAGTTTTACTATTAATATTTCCATTCACTTCCTGATTTTACTCCTTTCTAAACCATTTATTCCACTAGCTTTAAGTACGTCATAGGCACTTCCCAAAATCACAAAAGTAAGGTGTTGAAGCCATTAACAATCAACCATCCAACGTCGCCCACTAGAAGATAAGCAAAGATAAGGCCCATCAATTCTCGTTCACAATCATCCAATGACAAAGAAAACAAAAAACCTTCGTTGCAATTTAATTTCAAAACAAATAATCAATTATAAAATAGGACCACTTCCTTTCTCTTCCCCTTCCTCCCCCACACCCCCCAACCCCAACCACCCCCCCCCCCCCCCCCCCAAAAAACACCTTCCTAGACCCAACCATGGCTACTTCGACTGCTGTTGCCGCGACCTACTTTTTTGGGACCCGTCGTCAAAGCACAAAAAACCCAGGAAAAATTCAAGCCCGGTTTGGATTTGGAATCAAGAAATCGTCCCCTCCGCCGAAAAAATCCACCCCAAAACCAATAGAAGATCGACTTGTATGGTTCCCTGGTGCAACCCCTCCTAAATGGCTCGATGGAACCCTTGTTGGAGACCGTGGTTTTGACCCATTCGGGCTTGCTAAGCCGGCAGAGTACTTGCAATTTGATTTGGATTCATTGGACCAGAACTTGGCAAAGAATGAGGCCGGTGATGTTATTGGAGTCCGGGTAGAGGCTACGGAAGTGAAACCAACACCCTTCCAGCCTTACAATGAGGTTTTTGGGCTGCAGAGGTTTAGAGAATGCGAACTTATTCATGGAAGGTGGGCAATGTTAGGTACTCTTGGTGCTATTGCTGTCGAAGCTCTCACTGGTGTTGCATGGCAAGATGCAGGGAAGGTACGTACGTACGTACTACGCACTTGGCGTTCAGCAATCTAAGTAATCTATCTTTCATGAGCATTACATTTTTAACCGATAAATTCAGCCACCTCCTTTCTAGTGAAAAAAGAAAAAAGATGATTTTTTAATACACACACATATATATCTTGAATGATTGATTTTTTAAAGTAAATTATTTTTGGATTTATATCTTGATTTTTTATATTTAATTATGTATAAGAGTTAATGGTAAAATTCAATAATTATATATATGGATTTAATATTATTTGTTTTTCATTAGATATTAACTGTAAATATAAAAAAATATGTTTTTTTTTATTAATGGAGATCCCAAAGTCAACCCAACTCCAATTCTTTCTATCCTAAACCAGTTAATATGGGACTAAAAAGACAAAAGAGATATCGCCCACTCCAAGCCCATTCCATTTCAGCCCTTCAAATAGGTATTAATAGGTCACCAGCTGGTGATGCGAACAGTTCCCGTAAAATCCAAAACTTCATCCAATAAAACCTCAACGCTGAGAAAACCAGTCACAAAATAGACATTAAAGCTTTTGGGATTGCTCCGAAAAGAAAAAATGGTGATATTAATATATAATGCTTTTATAATTAACTTCTCATGTTTCTTTAAAACTTATTTTCCTTGATTATGCAAGTTCCTTATGTTCGAGGCATAAAATTCAAAATAAAATGTACAAGATTTTAGTATATTTTAACAATAACGTTTATTAACTAGTAGTAGTGTTTTTTTTCCCCCCTTACCAAAGTTAACCCTTTAAATTCATAATCTTTGAGATAAGATTTGTTGATGTCTATCCGACAAGATAACAATCCGAGAAATACCTTGTGGACAGCAGCAACACAACCTTATTTTCTTATTCGTGTCTTCTAGCTATCCAAGTATAAAGAAAGACAATAACGATCATTAATTCATGATAACAACCGTAGTGACGTGACGGTAATGCCAGTAACGATACGATAAATTCGTGAGTTTAATTAATTAAATTAATCGATTTTCTTTTTGGTAATTTTTCCAGGTGGAGCTCATAGAGGGGTCATCCTACCTTGGCCAGCCACTTCCTTTCTCCTTGACCACATTGATATGGATTGAGGTGATAGTAATTGGGTACATTGAGTTCCAAAGAAACGCCGAACTTGACCCAGAGAAAAGGCTATACCCCGGTGGTTACTTTGATCCGCTTGGCTTAGCATCTGATCCTGAAAAGAAAGAGAACCTTCAATTGGCAGAGATTAAGCATGCTAGGCTAGCTATGGTGGCCTTCCTTATATTTGGTATTCAAGCTGCTCTAACCGGAAAAGGTCCCATTAGCTTCGTGGCTACCTTCAACAACTGATCTCTATAGTTCTCTGCAACTTCACTAAAACACCGGAAAAATAATGTATATTAATTAGTTATATATTCGTGTTACACTATTGCGTACTTGACGTCCATTGTGATGGTTGGCACTTGCTTAGTGATTGCTCCTACGAATCATCGTTTCACGGCCGACAATTTTTTTTTAAATTTTTTTTATGAATAACCTATGTGGCTGATGGAATATTTGAAATGATGAGCTGATCATACGGGAGGATATTATTTGATGAGTTTTTTTTTTTTTTTGATAAATGAAATTTCATTGATAAAAAAGGAATAACCAAGTAGGATCTAAGTCCTATTACAAAACATACAATCAGACAAAAAAGCGGCATCCAAAGTAGAGATGATTTCTGTGTTCAGCAGCACTAGATGATTGATGAGTTGGTCTCACTATAAAGTCCATTTGCTTAAATCATTTGAGATCCTATCTTAAAATGATCAAAGGTTACATCAGATATATATTTATTTATATTTACGAATATCACATCAGATAATGTTGGGGAACTAGTATCGCATAGTAACAATTTCTTATACGATGATGAGGACTAATTTGGCCTTCTCTCATAAAAGCAAAGTAGGATTTCTTAAATATGACTAGCTTCGAGAAGTTAAAAATTAATGGTCGTGATTCGAAATACCCTCTGTACATATAAACCAATATGTAATGAGTAAATTATAAATCAGTCCTTTTATTTTGGAAAAAAAGGAATTGATTAATTCTTTTTATTTCAAAAACTAATTATGTAGTCTCTATATATTTTTTATTTTTTATTTTTGTAATTTATTTTTAAGAAAAAGATATGGAAAAATCAATGAAAAAAGATGATATTTTTTTAAAAAAATATACTAATGTTGAATTAAATATGATTAATACTAATCAAGGAATCAAATAATTAATTTTAAAATGATAAAAAATAATTATTTTTTTTAAATAGAAGGACTAATTTATAATTGAGTCGTATACAATTGGTTAGCCATGATGGTATAGAAAACAATCACATGAAAGGTGTTCGGTTCCAATCAGTTTGCCATCCTTTTATTGTTATTTTGTTATAAAAAATATGAAGGAAACATTGGAGTATTTTATGGTCATGGAATTTATGATAAGGATCAAGGGATTAGGAATTTTGGTTTTCCGTATCAATTGGGAATTTATTTCTTCTCCCAAATTCCGGAATTTAGCTTAATTAGTAGCAACTGAATCCATAGTTTGTATCCAAATTGGGCAAGCGAGGCCTCGTTCAGGGCCCGGGATGGGCTAGCTATTTTAAATAGGCCTGGCCTACCTAGCGGCAAGCACAGATTACCCACACGACCATCTAAGATGCAAAAACAGAAGAAAAGGATTTTGTCCCGTCGTATTCAAAAGTCAAGTCCAGATTTTTGCTCACTAACCATATTTTTAAACTTTCATACGGAAAAGCACCTGGAAAGGCTCCTTTTAGTTTGAGACAAAAACAAAAAATTGAAATAGCCTAATTAGGAAAAAAGGGCAGATCAAGTACAAAGGATAGAAATGGGAAAAAAATTATTTATTTGTTTTCTGGGATTTAGCTACTTTCAAATTAGTGTTGAAATGATAAATTAAATTCTAACCCTTCAATTCTCCTCTTAAAAAAAAAAAATCTAAACCTTCAAATGAAATGAAAGGCCAAGATTTATCTAGTGATTTTCTTTTACTTAGCTAAATCTACTTCCTCTTATGCTTTACAATTAACTAATTTTATTTCCGTTAATATATTAAAAAATAGATTTGCTTGCATATGGTTCATATATTCTTCAAATTGTTTTAATTAAAATCTTATGTTTTTTTCCTATTGATCGAGTCTTTTTACTCTTTATTTTGTCTTGTTTTCGTTTTTCTATTGTAATGTCGTTTATTCATGAATTGATGTGATATGTTCATTTATGAATGCATAACACGTATTATATGTGAGATCTTAATAAAAGTATTCAATCAAAATAATTCAAAAGGCACAAAGACTCAATTAATACAATTTGAAGAGTAGACGAACCAAATTCTTATTTTTTTCATTTTTAATTTCAATATTTTTTTAAAAAAAACTTATCCTAAATACATAAAACGTGTCATATATGAGATCCAATCACAATAAAACGGTGAAGTGTTTTTTATTTAAATATTATAATAAGTTAAAAATAATAAAATTATACATAAGGACAAAAAAAAACCTAGCATAACTATTAAATAAAAATATAATGATGTGCAATATCAATTAGTCACGAATTCCTAGTTAATAGACCTAATTCTCCATTTAAAAAAAAACAAAGAAATTATGAATATTTAACATATTCAAAGTGAAAATGGGATTGTTCCTTCAAAAAAAAGTAGAAACTACATCAAATTTTCTTTTTTAATATAGATAATTAACTATTAGTCAATATTACTATTGTTTTCATTTTAATTTTAACAAACATATTTTTACTTTTTTTTCAATTACATATTAGGTTGGTTTTGTATGTAATTTATTATTTTTAAATTATTATGATATTTTTTTAAACAAAATGATCTTTATGGTTTTATTGTGATAAGGTCTCATATATAATATATTTTGTGACATTCAAGATAAGTTCTTAAGAAATCCATAACATTAATTTTTTTTTTAAAAAAAAACAATAATTTAGTCTATGACTGAATCGTGTTGATTGAGTTTCGTATTTTTTGAATTATTTTAATTGATTTTATTTATTTATTTCATATATGATACATTTCATGTATTTAAAAGTAAATGTGTCACATCAACTCACAAACTAACGACATTATTATGATGGAAGGATGAAAATAAAAGAACTCAATACAAAAAAAAACGCATAGGTTCTCGGTTAAAATCATTTTAAAAATAGAAAAATTATATAATGGTTAAAACCCATTAAAAAAAAATTAATGCACATCTTGACAAGATCTAATTCTTTTCTCTCTTACGTCCCGATTTAATCGGATATAGAAACTACTTGTAAAAAGCTAGTTAGATCTAAGGTTTTTTTTAATTAAAAAAAAAAAGAATCAATTTTTTTGTTCATGTTTATGTTATTTTAATTTAATGGATTTTTATTATAAAAAAATTAAAAAAAATGAGAAAGAAGATTTAATGGAACCTTATTCGCTTAAAAAAAAAAAAAGATTTTATCGTTCACGGAAGACGAATTAAAAGAATAAATCTGATTTTTGTTAAAAAATCAAAGTTGTTACGAAAGATTAAATAAACTTGGAACTTTTAACATTCATAAAACAAATTTTGATTATTTAAAGGGAAAGTTTTTCACTTATCATAAACGGAGCATGTTATTCATTTTACGAGTTGATAAGCATATAAAATAATTCTAACCATTTAGAACGTAATGGCTAGGATTTAAGTAATCCGATATATCCCGATCTCATTAACTTAATTGTCATAGACTTCGATGTGATATATTTCGAATATGTCAAATGCCGCTTGAGATTGTTTTTGCAATTTTGTGTTTGAGAATCGATTGGCCATCATTTTGTGAATGAGCATGTCCGGATGATTAGCAATACAATGCTAAGTTTCACCTCCAATTTAACCATCTCTCGTTGTAGATTTTTAGATTAGTTTCCATAGATGAGTTATGTTTGATCTCATCAAACAGGTGATATTGCACATCTCTGTCATTTTCTTTTTCGTAGGAAAGAAAGAGGTTGGTTTTAGAGGAGCGACAAAAATTGTAGGTCTTTATTTGTTGTAGGTTAGGCGGAAATAGATTTCACGAATAGGACGGCGAGGGTATAGAGTAGTATGAAAAAGGATTGTTGTCATCGCCTCATAACTAAGAGTAGACATAGTAATCGTTCTCGAACCGCCGATTTCGATTTAGGAACCATCGATTAAGGTTTCACCAAAAGGTGAAAAGGTGAAACCTTAACCAAACCTTCTATAGACGGTTTTGGTTTTGGTTTGAAACCGTAAAACCGATGGTTTGAAACCTTAAAATCGACGATTCAACGATTTTTTTATTAAATGAAAAAATAAAAAAAAATCGAACATTTTTTCTCAACATTAACATTGAAACGAAAAAACTTCTTTTTGCATAATGTATAAATATTATAATATTTTTTACATTATAATGTATTTCACACAATAAATCAAAGAAAAAAAGAAATAAATAAAGAAGGGCTTGAACTTAATTTTTGTAAACACTACAAAAATTAAGCTTCCTACGTATCCTCTTGGGATTTAGAGGAATCAAAGCTTAAGTAGTTCTCTTTTACATTTCAAATTATCCCTTCACAAATTACATCTATGTTCTATATAGTTGCGCCTAGTTACTTTCTTGATTGGAAGTTTCGGCTTCGAAGTTTCGTTGTTATGCCGTCGGGTGTTAGATCCATACTTTCTTCATTGAAATCATATTGTTTTTGTTTCGTGTTCTCTTGTCGGCTCTTATCCAATCATCCATGCATACTTGGGCTTCAAGTGACTCGGGAGCTAATTGTGATCGCCTATCATCCAAAATATTACCTCCGGAGCTAAATGCTCTTTCAACGGTTGTTGTTGAAGCTGGCACAACAAGTATTTATCTAGCTATTATGGATAGGATCGGAAAGGTGCTTGCGTGTCTTTTCCACCAATCAATTACTTCAAAATCTACACCTGCATTGCTATCACCAAACTCAAACACGGTTGTTAGATAAATATCAAGCTCGGAAGTGGAGCATGATGATCTTCTTGGCCTTTTTATCCTTTCCATGGCCGTAAGATAACCGACTCTAACACGTTGGCTACTTGATGATGATTGTGGCATAGGTGGTGAAGAGGAACTAGCATGTTGATCACCCACAGTTAAAGACATTTCAATATATAAATCTCTAACTTCGTTTTATAATAGAAGCAGTTTCTATTTCTATATTTTTATGAAATAATTGTAAATACTCATAATAAGTATTCAAAACAGCAGAAAGACCTTCCATTTTAAATCTAAGATCAAAGACTAAAGCAACAA